CGAAATTGAGCACCATGCCCAATTTGTTACACCACGAAAGAATATTGTTAAGGGCAGTGTCGAGAGCAACCTGGTCATCTGGCGATTGTACATCTGTGAAAATAATGCAGTCGTCTGCAAAAAGTCTTATTTTAACCGGATCAGTAATAGCATTAACAATATCATTGCAATAAATTATAAAGAGCAGCGGACCTAGAACACTACCCTGCGGTACGCCGGAATCTACTGGGAGATAAGGTGATGTCTGTCCACAGACGTCGACATACTGTTTCCGGCCGTTCAGGTAAGCAGACACCCAGGATACTAGGTAGTTTGGAAGCCCTATAGTCTGCAATTTCTCGATGAGCTTGTTATGGGGAACACGGTCGAATGCTTTACTGAAATCCAAAAACAGTACATCGACCTGACCAGCTTTGTCTAAAATAGAAGCAATGTGATGAATAACTGAGACCAACTGGGTGACTGTGGGAAACCGTTTTCTAAATCCATGCTGAAAGGGAGATAAAATGTGGTTATCATCTAAGAAGCTGTTTATACGAGTGGCAATTATATGTTCTAGCATTTTGCAACATGCGGAAGTCATAGAAATGGGACGGCAGTTTGGTATGCACTCTGGGTCCCCCTTTTTCACAAAGGGCAGAACACGTGCCAATTTCCAATCGATGGGTAAAGTTGCTGAACTTATTGAGGCTCGGAAGATCACAACAATGTACTTGGCCAATATTTCGGCATATCGCCGGAGAAATGCATTCGGTATGTTGTCTGGTCCAGGGGTTGATTTAACTTTTAATCGCAGCAGTAAATTAAGGACACCATCAAAAGATATGAGGTTAGGATCTGAATCAGAAGCGTCAATGCTAATTGAGACAGGCAGGGTAGAAGTTGAAAAAACACTATGAAAATAGTCGTTAAAATTTTTCGCGATAGTTTGGGGATTGTCAATCATAGTGCCGTTAAACTTGATTCAATTTACAGAGCTTTTACGGTCCCTAATAAAATACCAGAATTTTTTAGGGTCCTCTTTGATGAAGTTTTGCAACTTGACAGTAAAATAAAAATTCTTGGCACTTTTAATAGCTTCGGAGAGGGAGTTACGAATTTCCCTGAGAATGTTAGCGGGAGCACCTTTTTTCCGATAACGCTTGGCTTTACGCTTCATTTGTATTATTGGTCTTGTGATCCATGGTGTGAACTTTGGGGGTTTTTTCGTTTTGTTTGGTACAAACCGTTCAATGCAGTGGAAGCATAGTTTCTTAAAGTTATCCCAGAGAACAGAAGCGTCGTCCTCATCAAAATGCACCAATTCACATTCAAGATAATCTTGGATGCTCGTATCGTTAGCACGGGAAAAATTTTTGACCTGTTTAGAGTTAGGTGGGCTATTGGAGCGATTACAATGCAAGGAAAAAGAAACTGTGACCATGTCGTGATCAGATAAGCCGGGTTCAACACAAACACAGCAATCAAGAATAGTGCGATGCATGAACACAAGATCTAGTAACGTGGACGAAGCATTACCAACACGTGTTGGTTGCTGAACAATTTGGGCGAGATTGTGGGAAAGCATTATATCGAACAGTATATTTGCATTAATCAAATCTGATGTCGACTGCATTTGGTTCCAGTCAATATTAGGCAGATTGAAGTCGCCGATGACAATTAGCTTTTGATTACTGTAATTTTCCATATGGGTTTTCAAGTTAAACAAATAATCCGGCGACGAATTCGGCGGCCTGTACACTGCATACAATACAAAAGACTTATTGAAGAGTGAAAGCCTCAGGCATATGCTTTCTGTACTTTCAACGTCCGGTAAACGGGTGACAGTGATTCCTGTTTTAACAACTGCAACTGCAACTCCACCACCTCTTGAGGCCCTATCTCTGCGGTACATTTCATAAGCTGGAGGCACTAAGTCTTGGTCACACATTTCGCTGTGGAGCCACGTTTCCGTTATTACAACAACATCAGGGTTGTATGCTAAAAGTACAGCCTCAAGTTGTTCGGTTTTATTTCCAATGCTTCGAGCATTCATATTAATCAGTCTAACTTGCTTCTGCGCGGCTGGTCAACACTTGCTACCCGTACTTTCGTTATCGGGTGCACTGCCGATAGACTGAGGCGATGCCGTGGCACACCGACGGCTTCCAATTAACTGACGTTTGTTTGTTACGTCATTCCAAATAAACAGATCATCACCTACACGCAACTTATCATGCACCAAAAATGCCTTCTTGCCTTGTTCTTTGTCGGCTTTTGCACTTTCCCACAGTAATTTACGTTTTGCCAACGTCTGCTTTGAGTAGTCGTTCTGAACAAAGATGTTAGTTCCCTTTAGGTTGCTCGCCTTTTTCAGCACAGCTAGCTTTTCGGTGAAGTCTTGAAGATACAAGATAATCGGCCTATTTGAGCCTGATCTTCCAAGCCTATGAATCCGGGCAACAGAAGTGCATTTAACGCCGAGCTTGCTGTGAAATGTTTCAGAGACGACTTTCTTTTTAAGATCAGATTCAGTTTCTTCCGGCTGTTCTGGGATACCAAAAACAATCAAGTTTGAACGTCTGCCTCGATCTTCAAGATCCGTTAGCTTTCGGGCCTGGAAATTCATTGAGTTTGTGTAGACCTTAAGAAGGTTGTCCAGGTCATCTAATTTTGAATTTTTAGTTTTCATTTCAGCCACATGGGTCTCGATTTCTGAAAGACGCCGTGTAAGCTCTGCTAACATGTTTTCCGTTTTAGTTGTAAGGTCTGCTACCTCACTACGGAGAGCTTTTTGACCCTCTAAAAGTTTAGCCAGCATGTCTTGGTTGGTAGGTCCGGGGTTTTGTTCGACATCACAACAAAGTAGTAACCGAAGTGCACAAAAACAATCGTATGCAATTTTACGACACTGCCGTGGGCACGGCATAACAACCAAACAGCGGCAATCGCTTCGAAATGAGCTGTACGCCCTACTAACCTGCACAAGGTAGAGGAAACGTTTAGCCATATTTCCACGGATTTCGCCGTGCCCACTAAGGGAGGGGGGGTTCCAGGTGTCTTTAAGTAGTCGATGATCGGATGACGTCACAGACCAAGCACTGCCAGGCGGCAGCAGCTTCGGGATGACGTCACAAGGTTCCACGTGGGGCGGCTGTGACTTGCAGAAAGGAAAGTGGTGCGAATGCGGCGAGTACCCAGTGATGGCCGTTGTAGATCCAGGAGATACGTCGGGGACGCAGAGCAGCATGCCCTGCACAAGGTAGAGGAAACGTTTAGCCATATTTCCACGGATTTCGCCGTGCCCACTAAGGGAGGGGGGGTTCCAGGTGTCTTTAAGTAGTCGATGATATATATATATATATATATATATATATATATATATATATATATATTCATATACATACACGAATGTAAACGCCGAGGCGATGAATTTGAGATAAAAAGCAGTTTAGAAAATGTTAGCCAGCAGAAACTACTCCTGTGATGTAAATACTTCATTCTTTATTAAACAGATTCAAGGCATCGGCAACCTTTCCGTCATTTAAATATATATATATATATATACATATTAATATATATATATATATATATATATATATTTATATATATGTGTGTGTGTTTTTGAATTTTTTGATGATTGAGCATTGATAACCAAAGAGCGACGTAAATATATCAAAATAAGTCGAGTAAATGCTTTCACCCAATTTAGATCAGGCCTAATAAAATTTCATATGAATAAAATCAAGCAGAAAAAAAATTAAAACAAAACTTTTCAAAAACTATTCATCACTTCAACATTAAAAACCACAACTAGAAATAGAAAGTCGAATTCGTTTCGTTTCCTGAAGATAACTGCAAACGGCTTCAAAATGGTCCCTGCGACTCAAGCCCATGTCCGAAGCACCAAAAAAAATTATGTCCTCACTTATGAAGTACAGCCCATGGTTAGCGAACGCGATAACAAATACTCTTTTAAGTAACCTGTAACGGCGACATGACAACCAGTAGCGTTCTTTGGCTTCATTTTAAACAAAACTTGCATGCGGGTTATATCCCGAGACCACCCTTTGTGAATGTATTATTAACGGGGGTACACGACATCGCAATCTGGTTATTATGACTTCCTAAATGACACCAATGAGTTTTCAACGAAAACTTAAATGACTGTGTTTTGTACATGAACTTGCTAATTATAATACGTCTGCATGAAGCGATCATGATGTATATCTTGTTGCAGTTGTATAGGCCGCAACAGAAAGGATCTAAAGTATAAGAGTATTTAATGCTGCTAGGGCTATTGAGTCAGCCTTTTCATTTAATTCTAATACACAATAACCAGGTGCCCGAAAAACTTTTAGAAACTTCAGCTGTGGAGGAACTAGTGTGAAGAATGTTTCAAGGCAATTTATTTTTGCGATGCAGTGAGTGAGGTGCGCAACCACTAGGAGTCATATATTATTATTGCTAAGCCCGTGTCTTCTATCACCGTGCTCAGGTAGGTAGTTTGTTTGTTTTTTTGCTATAAAAGTTTCAAGTAGGTCAATTTCGTATTATACAGTCCTATCAAAATAGTTTATATCAGAAATAACGTAAAATCAATGCAGAAGTACAAAACGTATTGCATTGAAAAAAAATTGAAGTTACTAGTTACTCTTTATAGAAAAGTGTCGGCACCGTTCTTGTTTTTCGATTCTCGGGCGGCTTTTGTGGTCGTGCACCTCTCCAATCCTCAAAAGCAGCTCTTCCCATTGCAATGAAATACTTTGACCCTGAATGTGTAGAATGCCGAACAGCATGGAATGACCATCGTGCAAGAATTGTAGCATTTTTACTCTATCAGCTCTTTTATAAGACCACTCAATTATTGGCCAATGTCCCACAGTGGGTATGAGCCACAAGTGAAGGTCAACAAGAACAAGAACCGGACGCGCGAAGAAAAAGCAGAAGAAGAACGAGCCTCCATGATTTCGCAGCGCTCTACCTCCGATCTTTCCCAGCCAGCGTCCACTTTGGCGAAGATGGCAAAAGGTTCCGAAAAAAGCAGCGTGCCTCCCTCCAACAGTGCGGACATGTGCCGACTGCCGGGCAGTGTGGGTTCCGCCAGTGCTGCGTCACGCTTCCTCACCACGCCGAGGCTACAGGATGGCTACATGACGCCATCAGAGACCCAGGTAGAGAGCAGGTCTGCGTTCGGCCACGGGCGATTCCAGAAGACGATGCTCCTCTGTGCACAGGTGCGTGCTAACAAATATATTTCGCAGTGAATTCATAATCAGGTACGAATCTGCAAATGCCGTCTTCGATAGGTAAGTTTTTTTATTGTTTAGTAGCCTTCGCTCCCAATGTGTTTCACGTCCAGATTGGCTGAAATATCCTCCTAGGAATTTTGGGGGGCGGGGTGTTATTTTGAGCCCGGTTTTCTGGCCCGACCCATCCAGAACGGCATAACATTTTAAGGCAGGTTTGAGTTGGCGAATCTGGGCTAGATTTATTCTATGACATCAGCGTAAAGTTAGGTACAGCCAATGTTCTATATTGCGAAAAACGGCTGCCCCATCTCACAGTCAGGCTATCTACGTGTAATATCTCAAGCGTTAAGGCCTACCTGCTGCTTCAAAAGACAATCACGCAATCAAGCAAAGGATGCTGGCATCTTTGTGTCCTGCACTGCAATATCATAAACAATAAGTAACGTGGCTTTGCCGAAATTCCAACAGCTCCTTCCTGGATATCACGGATAGCCTAATGTTATGAACCAGCCATGTGAAAATGTTATACCCGAAGCTGCTTCGAAACTGAATTCCTTTACGGACAAACATGTCTCGAAAACAAAACTGAGTACAAGGGGACAACGCAGAAAAAAAATCACGTGACATATTACGCAGAGGAGTTTCAAACGTTCCCAGGATGCTATTCTATGTATATTAATCAGGCGTGGCCTGCAAACTTTTGACGCACACTGTTATTGTCATAAACAAGGCAAATATTCGAAAGCATGGTTGTTTTTTCACATAACTACAGACTGTGTCGCGCATTCTGCGTGGTTCTGAAATCACTTGTACTCAATAAAGTACCCTAAACAGCCGTGAGGCCTAAATTAAGTGTGATGTTGGGCCTGAGAATACAATGAACACGTAACTGCGACTTTTAAAAATGGGGTCCTGGTAGCTAAGCTACGCAACCTTGACTATATACTTGTGGCCATCACTCACTTTTATAGCTCCCTCCTTAGCAATGCTCTTTTCCTTGGCTCGTCACACCTCCTGAGCGACTGTTCGTTTTCGCTATGCTATGAAGAGAACCAAGTGCGCCTACTCGCGAGCAGCAAACAGGTTTCTCTTGATGCTCACATAATCATGTTATACCAACCTCTTTTGGGGTTCTTACAGCACACCTGCAAGCTATAGGTATCCACTACGCCCCAAATAACAGCAATGTATTCTGTCGAATTGGGAGCTCACTAAGCTAGTGTTCAGCACATTGCAGATAACCAATGTACCACTACACATATGTAGGCCATTATGGGCACTTTGATGTTGTGGCTGAGGACGACAAAATACTATGGCAATGCACGTGTTGCCTGGTGGGAAGCTTCACAGGAGACGCTAGTTCAACTTAAGGTGATGCCGCATATGCTTAGCAAGCAGGGAAGAAGACATATAAAACACGAAAAAGTGCACTTAGTGCGCTTTTCTGTATTTTACCCGATTTCTTCACTGCTTCACTTATCTTCTGCTTCACATATTTTGATCGGCTTCCAACCTATACACACGGGTCGACACCACTCCTCGCGGAGCATGACGCCTGTACAGGGTATTTTTGCAAACCAGTGTGAAGCTCTAGCGCACTTCTGCAGTAAAATGCTCTACTATCAGAAAAGGGTGTGGGCTGAAGTCCCATCGGATTGTGGTTATGTTGTTCTTGCTTCGCTTATTCGAGGATATGAACATAAATGGTCGCAGCAGAGAACTACAGCACTGTTATTTTGATTTAATACCAGCTGGCGCTATAAAACAACTATTTCCCATTTTCACACATCCTGTTCTTAAAAATGTGGAAGCATGGAACCGAAGCTGTTCCTCCTTTCTGGTATATTGACGCGGGGTAGGATGGCAAGTTTAGTCGCCGGCCTTCACGTAAAAGTAAGCGAGGTGAATGGGTATGTTGTCGCCCTCGGGTATCAGGTCTTTTCTTTGAGCAGGCTCTGTTTTTTATATAAGACCCTGAGTAATCAAGTATCTATCGGTACCCTGGTGACAATATTGAACGCTCATCCCTACAGATGCAACATTCAATAGGTATCAAACTAGCATTATAAAGGATACATGATGCTGCTCAAGTCAGGTGCCCCAGGCACTGAACCAGCTGGCCAGCGCTCGTTTGCAAAAAGCGGGGAGTGTGAAATAAAAATAAAACTCATAAGCCGAGCACAATTGGGGAGAGTTCGTACTACTTATCATGCGCCGCCTCTCCGAAGGTGGGTGCCCCATAGAATCAATGACAACATTCGTGTGTGTACACCAACAATCATTTCGCTTCTGCTCAACGCAGCTGGCAACTATGCTCGCGTACTCCTACAGCTTCACACTACTATTCATCGATCTTGAGCCGGTAGAGCACTGGTGCGCACCTCCACAGCAGTTCGCCACCCTATCCGAGCAGACGTGGAAGGAAATCGCCATCCCACGCGACTCTAACGGGGACTTCAAGCAGTGCGAGCGCTACGAGCCGCTCGATGCGCCAGCTTCGCTCCTAGCGGCATCCACGTCACAGGCTGGCGACCCCGCGACCCCGAATCTGGAAGCCAGCACCCAGCCACCTGTGACGATAGAGAGAACCAACGCCAGTGAGGTCCGCTGCGAGAACTTCGCCTATAAACCTGATACGCCTGGCAGAAACGCCATCGCTCGCTGGAACCTGGTCTGCGACAGGTCGTGGTACGAGGGACTTCTGAAAGCAGCATACACTGGAGGTGAAGTACAATTTCACTGCATTCGCTACTTTTGGATGTCCCGATGACGCGGGCGAAATGGGAAAACGCGTGAATATTAGGTAGAAACTCGTAGATGCCTCACAAGACGCCAAAAATGACCGTCAAAGTACTTGGCATCAACACCAGTGATGTCAAATGTAGTCACGCGATAAAGTCTTGACATAGCGTCATCATGTCTTCAGATATCCACGAAACCTGACATGACGTCTTTACCTTGGCGTCAAATTATAACGTTATCACGTGCCTTCGTCGCTTGGTGAAATATAGGCTGATCCTCCAGGCACAACACTGTCAGGCAGTGTGCAAAAACATTGCATTGCCTCCAATCGCAAAGGTCTCGCCGAACAACTTCCGGTGTAAATGACTTCTGGGAAAGGTTGGTATCTGATACAGTCATAAAAAAGCCGTAAACGATGAAAATCATAAATGTGCACTAGAAGTTTTCTTTGACCACTGTATGAGAAGCTGGGTGCTTGTTTAAAGAATTAGGTCAATAAGCCAGTTGAGCTATTCATCATCATAACCTAGCAGCGCAAGCGAAATAGCCTTGGTAGCAGCGGGACACAAGAGTGCCTTTCACGTACCACTTTATCCGGGTCCCATTTCTTTTCACTGCCACGTTAATGAATCCAAAGAAATCATTCCTGACGTTCAGCGTTCCAACAACAATGAACAATTTCCAGAGACGCTGTGGAGGAGGACTCCCGAAAATTTTACCACCTAGCAACTTTCAACGTGCACTTAATCATAAGCACATGGCCCCACCGCGGTGGTCGAGTGGTTGTGGCACTAGACTGCTCACCCGAAGGGCGTGGGAACGAATCCCGGCTATGGCGGCCGCATTTTTGATGGAGTCGAAAATGGTGCAGGCCAGTGTGCTCATATATAGGTGCACGTTCAAGAACCCCATGTGGTCAAAATTTTTGGAGCCCTCCACTATAGCGTCTCTCGTAATCACGTGGTGGTTTTGGGACGTTAATCGCTACATATCAATGTATCAACATAAGCACATGTGCCTAAAGCGTTTTCGAATGCAACTGCCAAGGTACCCTAATGAATCAATGCGAGCTATTTTGCCTATTGAGCCTTCTTGCAGTTCATTCAGGTCCAATTCGTCGCACATACATAAAGGTTGCTGGGATTAAGAAGACCTTATCGACAGTGATTTCATGGCTAATCAGTTCGATAGGCGGGACTTGAAGCGACGTATAGAACGTATAACTGCACGTCCGGCATTCTGTTTCAAACAGCCAATGTTGCTTGGTCGACCAAACCTGTTTGCAATTAAGGTCTGTCTGTGAAAAATATGCTAAATGCTTTTCAACAGTAATAAATGGAGTAAAAGCAAAAAGAATCGTCCATTTTTTTCGGCGTTGTATGCCCGTCACCCCAAGACACGTTAGAGAAAGTATGTGCTCATCTTCTTTTGATTCGGTGCACACGAAGGTTTTGGAAGCAAAACAAGCTTATGGTAGAACTATTATATGTCACCGAGCGCCGTCTGAATAAATAGTGAAGGCAGCGCCCAACAGCGGTCGATTATCCAAGTCATAAGGAAAGAGTGAGAAGGCATGCCAAGAAGAAAAATGAAGGTTCTTCTACAAGAAGCCTGATGTTTTATTGCTTGTGCGGAAGTTTAACCCGCGTGCCGAGGAAGCCGGCCATGGTTGAATATTCATCGATTTCCAAATTACTCCCGTTTCCAGTATGAGAAGTAATTTTATACAAGTGAGCCTTGTTGGAACTAACTTTTTCGCCAACCTAGCAGTCACCGTTCTTCATCCTGGTCATTGCTCTTCACGAGCTGCCGCTCGCTCGAAGCCTAAAGGTCACCCGTTCTTTTCATTTGAATAATAGACAACTATACTTTTCGTTTTAAACCTATATACCATCTCTTGTCCGACACGGTAGCCTGGTAGTCGGTGGAACTTGACGTGCCCCCCACAGCTTGTTTGCTTGAATATGTGATAAACAAGGCAGAAGCTTCAGGATTGTTTGATTGACTGTAAATATGTGTGGGTACTATTGACGTAGAATTAAAACAGTTAGAACGGCAAGCATTCCCTATGGCGTAGGGCGTTACATCCAGTCATTACAAGGATTGATTGATTGATTTGTGGGGTTTAACGTCCCAAAACCACCATTTGATTATGAGAGACGCCGTAGTGGAGGGCTCCGGAAATTTCGACCACCTGGGGTTCTTTAACGTGCACCCAAATCTGAGTACACGGGCCTACGACATTTCCGCCTCCATCGGAAATGCAGCCGCCGCAGCCGGGAATCGAACCCGCGACCTGCGGGTCAGCAGCCGAGTACCTTAGCCACTAGACCACCGCGGCGGGGCCAGTCATTACAAGGAACAGGTGTTTACTGATACACTTCAGCACAAATGCACTTACGCTGCCACAATATGGACCTTACTGCACGCAAAATATCTTTGTGAATGAGTGCTGCTGTATCTGTTTTCTTTGATGCTTCTAGTACTCACAGGCAGCCTTTCTTTCATTTCTAATCAATAATAAATAATTCACTGTTGGTATAAATGTAGCACATAATTACACTTTTATCTATTAAATTGCTGAAGTGTAATGAAATAAAAGGTTACTCCAAATATTCTGGTAGTCAATCAATAATCTGTGCTGAATTTTCCTTGCTTGATTTGTTGAATTAAAAATGAGTTTCGGCAAAAGGAGCCTGTTGCTAGTTTAATGAGTGGCGATGTACGTACTCGCCTTGCCGACATTCCTCCTAAATTTAGTTTCAGTCAAAATAAAGTAACTGTTGTCGTAGTGAGGCCTTTCCCAAAGATGGAGGAGTTCCCACTAGACGAATTAGGGATTTTCGCATTTTCATTGCTTGAATGAGTTCGTTGTGATATTACAAAAGATGAATACATATAGTGCCACGTAAAGTAACACGCTGTAGAGCCATGAATATTTGAAAGGCGCGGTACACATTTTAATATTAAACAGCAAATTTGACATACAACATTGTTGGAAGAAAGAAGCACTGGAAGTTTGACACTAGGAAAAAGTACTGTCTGTGGAGATCCTTGTCAATATTGCGACATATTGCGCAATATTGTGGCATGATGGTCTGGAACAACATGGCGAAAAAGCAATTCATCCTAACTGATTTGGTCTTTGCAGCGAGTGTCCTGGCCATACCGTGCGTAGGCCTAGCATCGGACAAGTTCGGCCGCCGCCCTGTACTTCTCTGGGCTTCTGGCTTAGTGGTATTGTCGGGTTTGGCTACCTGCGTGGCAAGCTCCTTCGTGGTCTACGCCCTCCTGCGCTGCTTATCGTCGGCTGCCTGCAGCGCCATAGAAGTGATCTCGTTTATTCTACTCTTCGAAAGCACGCAGCCAGGACCCAGGGCGCCCTACTGTGCCCTAGCCATATGCTGGCCCACAGTACTTGCGCCCATATACGTCGCCGCACTCGCCGCCTTGATAAAGGTACTTAACCCTAAGCGATAGGCTTAAAAATTTCGTTTAGTAGAAATTACAATTCCGTTTAGTATGAAATACAATTGAGCCCCCAACGTGCGTACACCGTGTACGCAATGGTCCAACACGCCAAACATTAGACCACCACCACATGCGTTTTTATTGCACACTAGCGCTCAAAATACGTGGAGATCACATTTTTTTACAGACGCTCTTTAACTGTTGGCGCTTTACAACACCCTCTAATACCCACGTTACAGAGGCAAGTCAGCCGCCGTTACGACCAACCATAGGTAATTAATCTCGCGCACGATCGCGTGGAACAGCGAATAGCGTCAACCACGGTTCACCAATGTTACACAGCACAAAAGCATCTTTGGCTAAGCGGGCTGACACAACCTGGCGTACAATAAACTAACGCACTAATCAGCAGATCGCAGTTCTTCATACGAAAATGTGTCACTTATTTCTCGCATAAGGTTCCGCAAATGTACAAATATGCGAATTTGAGCAAATATATGCGTTCAACTCGGCTATTATTGCCGCGCACACCTTTTTATTGTAACACGGGCTTCGCAGATTACGGAAATTATTTTCCCTTAGCCTTATCAAGCTTTCCGTGGTTCCTGTAGTCAAGTTAATCCGTTTTTCTCGCACGTTTGCCGATATGCACTCACTGCTCAAAGGTACCGCCATTTGTTCGGTCAACTGCTGAACCGATGTTGCCAAGCACGGTTTCCTGCAGCCGTAGTATGTGGCATAACCGCGGTTTCTCATACCGAGTAATCTAAGCGAACTCCTGTTAACATAACCACCATTACGTTAACCGCGGTTTAGGCGGCCTGTGTAACAATAGTATACATAATTCTAGACAAGTTCGGCCGGAGCCATGCAGGCAGGAGCGAGGCGGCCGGCGTGGGTGCTTGCGTGTTCTAGCTGCATTAACTGCTGCAGCCTCGTAATTGCCAACACGCCAACTGTAAGATAACTCATGAAGCAGCATAAAGCGAAGCAGCAAAAGCGTTCTGTTCCGCGACCTCTTGCGATGGTATGCTACGTCATATCAAATGTTTTCTTTGTTGTTTCTTCTATCACGACTCTAGCCGAATTCAGCGTTACTTATTTAGCTTAGTACCTTAGTGACGCTTTTACCCGATTCATAGCAAATACCGAAGGTAAAGCTAACGTCCATTGCCTTGTTTTCAATTGTACAAGTTCAGCAATGAACTCTAGAATTATTATGACATTTCTATTTTTTGTATTGTAGATTGTTTGAGTGCCTTCATAATACATTATAGTTCTATTGATAGTACAAAGCATTGTTGCTGATAATGATATTTCTCTAACATGTTACTTTCAGCACCCTTCTGTGCAATCAGAGTTATAGACGGTTGTTCACGTGCAGGACAGTTTGCTGTAGACTATTCAACTTGTACTTTTCAGAAGTCAGAGCTACTCAACCTGGCTCTCAGCTCTTCCTCCCAGCTTCGCTCATCTTTCTGACTAAAAAACACCCATATTATTATTATTATTATTATTATTATAAATCTTGATAATATATAACTATTATTCAGAATCTCTCCAGAACTCATTTCTCCAGCAGGCTTCTAAAAATGTACACCGCAATACGTCTTCCTCAACTTGTCTCATAGACAACAGGGAGATAAGTGTGTTAGCCACGTTTCAGTATATACCCTATAGCGAAAGAAATTTCACTCATGTCTGTTATTCAACGACTTTGTTATTATCATTATTTGGGATATGTGCGCAGTGCATTAGTGTTTCGGTGACTGGAGAGCGCCGATCCGAGGGCTATAAAGTGAATGTATTCTCAAGAATAAACCAGTTGTTAGATGGCACCCGTTTGAGTTTTCTTCTGTATCCCTGTGTGCTTTCACAAAAAATTCAAAAAGAATATGTTCCAACTGGGCCTATTCGTAGTTTTGCTTGAAAAGCAATGATCTGGAGTGACATTTTGAAACCTAGCAGTGACACCATTGATTGAGTCCAGAAACTGTTCATAATCATTTACAATCATCGTTTCTCTGTAGATGACTTTGGATCTCGTTCCAACACTGCTGATCATCATCATTGCCGTCACTTTACTGCCGACAGAATAACACTGATATGTTCTTTTTTTAAACTAGTTCACTGTACGATATCCTGTCCTTAACATCTTAGTTGTGCAAATTTTCAGATTCCGCGTATGTTGACCGGATAAAATCGGTCATTTCTAGTGCCTGCCAACTTCTTTCAACACTCTACTATTCACAGAACACAAAGTCTCTGTGATGTTACCTTTCATGATCTTAGTGCTTTTCACACTTCACTGTCATAGTTTCTATCTCAACACTGCACTGTTTTAACATTGTTTTTCACCATGTACAGATTTTTCCCTAATTCATTTTTCACGAAGGTTTCAGCTTAGTTATGTATATTCCCCTTTGTTTAGCACTTCAATTTTTTGAGATTCTCGCCTTGTCTTTCTATTCTTCTCATTTCGCACAGATTTTTTTGTGTTTTCAAATTTTGATTTGATTTTCTGAAGAATTTTTGTATTGTTTGTTTGTAATGTTTTATTTTTTCGAGTGCCTGCAATAAGATCACATGGTTGTTTCAGGGCACGTTATATAAATTATTGATTGACAAAGAATATTTATATTGCCACTAAAATTATTAATGTTATTATACTTCAGAACTGGGTCATGTTCAACCTGATGGTCCTGCTACCGTCGTCGCTCCTGCTGGTCACCACGGTCCTGGTCGAAGAGTCGCCACACTGGCTCCTCGTGAGCCTGCGCTTCGAAGACGCCGAGCGCGTCGCCGTGTACGCGGCCAGGTTCAACGACGAGGACACGGACCGAGTGCGCAGGCGCATCGACGCCATTCGGCAGGCGGCCACGATCAACAAGCCCGGAGGCCGAGCCACACCGCTGCTGGAGGCTGCCAAGCGATCGCTGGCCGCTACTGTTGTGTGCGGTGGAATGGCGTACCGAAGCTTCGTCCTCAGCGTAGCCTGGTGAGCTCGCTCGATAACGGGTTATTGGCGTGTAAACATTTTACGTTCAGACTATGTAAACATCGAAAACTGATTTATTCTTTAGTGCAGCCACATTATGCGCATTAGCGTTTTGTGGTGTTACGAGCGACAAGAACAAAAAGAGTTCGCTGCTTAGTGCATTCGTATATCACTTCAATTTGTTGCTGCCACATACAATTATTCGCTTTGCAGCCATACGCACGTGTAAACACAAAAGTGTCTGAATCTCGAATCGAAGAAAAGCTCCCTGACGTAAATGCAGAAGTGACGTGGGTAAATTTCAAACGATGAAAAAAAAAAAACGGAAAGAAAAGTTTCGCTGATTTCGATGACATCAGAGTCGTAACCATGTGCTTTAGGTCTGCAATGATGGGTGGTGGATGATCAGCCGGCTCTACTACCGATGCACATTCACGAGGCTTCATATTCATAAACGCGCTTCTTTTACATCGAAAGCTGTTATGAGATTACAAGGGTCACGTGCACATTAGTTATCCGCCACCGCTGCTGCCACTGCTGACGTCACCGCCGGTGCCCGTAACCACTATCGCGCGAAATAAAAAATTGGACCTACAGAATAAAAACGCCAAGCTCACGATGGGATTCGATGAATGTCATTGCAGTGTTCCCTGCATGTCAGTCCAGTGTTATACCACTGAGAGAAGCTCGTGATAAAACGTCATTACAAACTGCCACTGGGCATATAAAATTGCACAAAATTCCTTGCAAGTGTGCAACAGCTAGGTACCGCACTTTTCTGAAGAATTACGAAGGATTGCATTGTGAATACGTTTCTACAAAACTAAATTTACAATGATCTATGACATAGTGGGTACCGTGAAAGTGCTATTGCAGCAGCTACCCGAAAATTGTTTTAAAACGCTCTGAAAGGCCACTCTTCAAACTTTCGCTGCGACTGTGCTGCGCGTTGCGCGCAGGCCTGGTGGCTTTTTAAAGTAAATAGTCTTTCTTGGGGACCTTTGACGCAAAAATTTTGGTCTGGCTGTCTGTCTGTTTGTACATTTGTCTGTTTGTCTACTCTTAAGAGCATCGGGTATTTGAAACGGCCGACCTCATCGGTGGCGCCCACCTATGTTGCTCAAGAAGCATTCATACTTGTGGAACTGTCGTATAAAAAGCAATTATTGCACGTGCCTGGGGCACGATAACAACACGTATAAATTCTGCATGTGCGCTTTTTACTAGAAAAGGCATACATGAGTAATTTTAAGGACCGTCGTGCTTATCACGCTGCGCTGACCATCCAACGTTTGTACGGATAGGCGAGTGTTTCCAACGCTTTGCTAAAACCAGACGGTGGTGGCACCTACCCGTCGCCTCGCGTTATACACTAAATAACCTCTGAGGCGGGCGCGCACACCCTTCTCTGAGCCACGCACTTTTTTTTTGAAAAAAAAAAATGCCAGATGGCACTCATGTCTCACGTGTGACGTGACTTGATGCGCTCATTCGCCTCCACTGCACGCTCGAGGCACTCTAACACAGCGCCTCTAGAATATCATTCATCAATTCTCTTGAATAGAACGTCAAATAAATGTTTTGTTCACTCTCTCCACACGCCAGACTATCGTCTCTCGACGACATGTGCAGATTAAATACAGATACCGGGCCAATTTTTTTTTCGTGCTTCTCTCTATCTCCCCGCTCGCACATCTCATTCCTTTCACAGTATTCTTGGCTGGTCGGTGTCGTTTCGCCGTCCGACAGCGAGAATTTGAACTTGTGCATCATTACACAAAGAGCGGTAGTTTCGCTTCGATAGCTTCAAAGGAGCGCAGGCTTTCCTTACAATATCATAAGAAGTTGTATGGTCGGAGCATACTTAGTGGTTCGGTTCGGTGACCACGCACGAAGTGGTTTGCATTTCGCCTCTTGTGAATGTGCCGCCTCGTTAATGTGACAACTTGTTAATGTAACATGTTGTCACAAAATAGCGCAGCTCGTACATGCACCAACAGTATTTCTCAGTCGGCTACTTCTTCAAAGTTTTTGAGCCGCTATGTAAACAATTTATGTAGCCAACTCGTTTTTGCTATTAGCATCAACTAGAAGCTATGAAAGAGCAGGATATGTCGTAGTGTAGATGAATTGAACAATCTGCATAATAAATATGTCTTCAATTGACTACAGTTTGCAATGTACTGATACATATGTCCACTTTTCTGAAGGCACTACACCGTTTGACGAGTCGAGCAACGTTTTGCTTCCTGCGAGCAATGTGAACTGCAGAATTTTGCTTTGCTCAAAATGGACCTAACTAAACTCAATATGCACTATATTCCTAGCCTGAGATATTATTCTGTCTGTGCCAAACGGAAACATTTTTTACTTCATATAAAGGCATATTTATCGTCAACCTAATTAGGATGAGACACTAGAACACAGATAAACTTAAGAATTATGTTACTATTCTTCTAGCGATAGAAGATTGAGCGCCTTCAGGCAACATGGTAGCGAATTGACACACTTACGTACAGTTCTCAGAAGTGGTGTCTGCAAGGACTAAAGTTATTGAGTGGACTAACGAAGCTGTTCTAAAAAAGGGCGTAATGCGATCACGTCGTAGACAGGTGAATGCCGCTCCTCAAACACTTTGCGGCAGTGACAGATCTGTAACGCCTTGCAGCATTCACGGCTCAAGCTGCCACTTAAGCCTCGCATTTCTGAGGCACTGTGTGGTATATAGATGAGCACAACTGCTGGTAACCTATTGGCTGACAGCGCATACCTTTGTGTTCATTTCCTCAAATACCGACACTTTGAATTTGTTCATAACGAGTGGGAGTGCTGATTGTGAATGCGTTGATGTAGTCATTGAACGGTACCCACGACAAGCTTTGTCTAAGTGTACGTTCACATAAATTACCACAAAGATAGAATTTTGACGATGGACATTCATCTTCGAGATACATATGTGCCAATAGGCATTAGAGTGGCTGCTTTTGTCTCATATGTTGCCATAACAGCAAAAAAATGGACATTGTGCAAGCTCTCCATTATCAAAGTGCGCAGAAAAATCAACTGCTTATGAGAATACATGGTGCACTTTCGTGTTACAAGAATTCCTATGACGGAGGGATCAGCGCCATTTTTTTCGCATGTCGAAAGTGCGGCGTTTCATGATGTTTTCATTTCACAGGTGCCTTTCACAAGCGCTCGTGATGTAAGGTGGTCCTTAAGAATCAAAAGAGAGCTTTGGTTGCTTGGAACCTATGTGATACCGTTGTCGTTGTTTCAAGCTGCGACAGAGACAAATGGAGAGCAAAGGCTGGGAGGTCAACCAAGCTTGGCTCGGTTGGGACGGGAGAAAGGAGGAATAATAGAAGCCAATGAGGTACAGAAAAATTAACATGAGTATCACAGATATGAATAAATATTCAGCTCACCATTACACCAACATGTTGACACGCTGCTCTTTCACAAGCGCTCGTGACGTCTGGTGTAGGGGCCCTAAAACACCTCTTGAGCATGGTCAGAAAACTCTGCCGATGGGTAGTAGGGGCTCCCGACAACACGCGAGCCAATTATTATAGCACAGCACGCGCCCACAATAAATTTTCAAAGTGAGATAAAAATAGCTTTTTTTTTTTCTCTCGACAAATCACGGAATATGCCCAAAAGTCAGACGCGAAGTAAATTACCCATCTATCAGCCATTGGCTGATTTGAACATGGCTCACTCGCTTGTTACAGAGGCCGCCGCGGGAGGTCGCTACTTGTCCACGCGTGCGCGCGCGATCACACTGACTGGCCCAATCGTCCACTTTGGTCACACTGAACCTAGCGCCGCATTTGAAGAAAAAAAAAGAAAATGTGCTCAGCGTCACGAGGCGCACGTGATGCTTTCTGTGGCCCTACCATCCCTACCTGCTTAGCTTCCAGCGCTTTCGTCGGGACGAGAGAAGAGAGAATGCAATTGCACCATGCAACAAACCTTTGTCACGCCACTCGCACTAGACGGATTTTTTAATTTTTTTTTTTTGTGGCGGTGAATTCGTGAAGCAATAAGCGTTTTTGGTGAATTTATTCCGTGGTTACTTGAAAAAGCGTTTCAGGGCCCCTTTAAGCAGCCCACGAGATGCTTTGGTGACTTTGCACGTATGCGAAACCATCTAACAAGGTCTCGGTATCTTTTTTTCTGTAAGTTGTCGTGAATCCAGGTGACCGAGCTTGACTTCCATAGAACGTCTTAAGATTGGTCACTTGAACAGTCACATAAAATGTGCTCGAGTGTCTCCTCGCAGTTGTAATTGTTGCACGACCGCACTGCTGGCCATTTCAATGGGACACGAATACGCATTTGTAAATGTCACGCCCAACCACATGTGACACAGCATTTTGATCACGTCGTGAGAGCCCGGGCGACAAACGAAGTTGAAAATTTAGGACGAATACAGGCGCGCGTTGGAGAAACCCTGCCTACTCTATTGTAGAAACTTGATACGGTGAGCAAGTGACTTTAATTGTCGCGCAGCGTCCGTCTTCAAGATTAGTATAGGCATGCTCAGGTCTTGGTTATGAGCCAATTGAGAAGCTTCATCAGCGTGGTCATTGCCGAGAATTCCGCAATGACTTGGCAGCCATTGAAATAAAATATTGTGTCCTTCCTCGACCGCTTGGTGGTAGCCCTGCCCTATATAATACACTGATTGTTCGTGTAATCCGTGCCGTAAAGTGAACGGCAGTGTCTCTATGGTGGACCTCAAGTCGCAAATTATGCCCTCATGCCACAAGCACAAGTTGACACAAAATTGTCAGCCCTAATTCACCATACTCTTAGTGCTTTTCTTTTCAAATTTAACAAAAAGTACGCGTGACCCAGGTTCACCTTGTTCCTCGTGTACTACGGCGGACTGGCGACCGACAGCAAAACGTTGAGCCGCGACTACGAGCTCGCCAAGTGGGTCGTGGTGATCGGAAACGCGCCAGCCATGGCGGTCGCCTACTTCCTGGTGAAGCACTACGACCACCTGTCCGCCATCATTCGCCTCATGTCCACGGTGGCTATGGCTCTCGCCTTTCACGCTGCGCTCGTGGCCTTTGAGCTGTCGTTGCCGCTCACTGTCCTCATCATGTGGGTGAACCTGCTCCTGAACATCACCTACGTCGTGTTCTCCGTGGAAACCGTGGAGATGTTCCCGACAGAGGTGCGAGATATTTGATTCTCTGTTCACGCTTTGAAAGTTGTTCTGACGTTCTCTATGTGACATAATCGTTGTTCAGAGCAGAATTTGGCTGCGCCTGGACGGAACAGGAATAAAAACAACCCTAAACTCCTTCCGACGTAAACTTCTGTGACATAAAGAGCATGCTTAATTTTGGCTTCCTGTGAGCCACCCAATCGCTCAAACGTTTTTCACTAAACAGAGAGGAACGTACCAAAAATGAGATTCTTATTCAGCTGCAGTTCTTTTTCTACCTGAATGCCTTATGTCGAATTATTAAGACTAGAGATTTACCTTAACTGTAGTCCACTATGTTTCTTCTGAGACTTGGTCTTTGTAGGCACCTGACTTGTTAGCATTGCTTCTGCATAAATATGATGACTACAATTGATCAACTTTCTTCCATTATCGTACACTGAGATTATTTGTGCTTAGTGGTCAATGACTGGCAGCAAATGAAACAAACAGTCTGTTCGCCGCTCTTATTTTACGACCTGGTAAAAGATTTGCAATCTAATGACAATGCTGCCTCGTCCTGAAACCAATGTATTCTTATTACAAAATTGGTCAATGACTGAAAGTGTTAATTTTGTGTAGCTATGATAAAAACCTTACTATGAGAAATTAACCTGCAGCTTTCGTGTTTAGCGAGCTTTGGGCCGCACTGCCATGAATACAGTAAACTAGTATATACCTTGAACTCGAGGTGGTTAAAGGCGGGAAGTAGACACGAAGCGCAAGCCGTAAGAAAGTGTGCGTGTGCCTCCTCTCGTTCAGTCGTTGGAATGTCTGCTGGATGGAAGTGCTTCTATATGAGGAATATATGATGAAAATATGCGAGATGGTGGTACTTGGAGTGTTGAATAGGTGGACGAACGGACACACAGACAGATGCATGGATGGACGCACGGATGACTGCACGGACGGATGGACGCACGAACGGGTGCAGCAGCGGATGCATGGACGAAAGCAGGGACGGACGCACAGATGAACGATCGGACGCACGAACAGGCGCACGCACGGACGGGTGGATGGACGCACGGGTGGCCACACAGATGCACGCAAGGATGGACGGAAGCAAGAACGAATGGACGGACGGATGCTTCGCCCCACTCTCCATCATTCACTCCGTGGATATCCTGCCACTTTTTTTTAATCAAGAAATTCGCTAACAGACGCTGCCTGCGTCAACATTTCGAGAAAAGAGAGGGGAGAGCGTGGGAAAAGAGAGAGATAGGGGACGCGCACGTGCCATGGGGGTGTGAGCGTGGCCAGGAGCGAAGCTCAGTGGAGAGAGAGGGTTGTATGGTAGTGCTCAGAAGAGGAAAAGGCAGCTAATTTCTGCAGCCCGGTTAGGAGCATGGCGCAGTACCTGAGAGAGAGGGGAAGCAAGCGTAGGCGCGTAGGCTACGTTGCCTACGAGGAAGAGCGCAGCAGAGGAGAGAGTAACGCGCATGCGCAAGGAATTTGTAAGTGCTGCTGGGAGAGATGGCTAGATGAGAGATAAGCGGAGCGAGCGTTGGCTGGCAGACGCCTCTTCCGTCGGCGTTGCGGGGCGAGAGAGGAGGGGAGAATACAAGAGAGAGGGGAAGCGCACACACGTGCTGTAAGTGCGCTCATGCTACACACTGGATTGAGCTGAACCATGAGATGCTTCGAATCTATAAAAATATGTGCATGTTTTTATACTGCCTCATAACTACCTTGAAGTGCTGTCCACAATAAACCTCAGAGGGCCCTTTACAAACACTCAAATGCTCATCTTATTTTAATATGCCACTGAGCCCACCAAAATTAAAACAACGCATAACAAGGCAAATCAATTGTGTCTTACATATTTAAATTTTATCTTGTTGTGTTATCTTATAATTTTATGTGTTATCTTATAATTTTGTCTTATTTAGTGTCTTGACTTTTATTATTTTTTCAGTGTCGGAATGGCATTGTTTACCTGTCCACCTTATGAAGCTCTGAATGACTTTGGATCTCTTGTGCTATACGTTTTCTAAACACGCTAATTATATCTTCGTATCGCCTAGTTGAAAATACCACTGAATCCAGCAAAAATAAAATTTCGAGGATGGTAATGGAATGAAAAAACTTTATTAAAAATTCGAGATAATGATAATCAATGGGTTGTTTTTACCGGTCACATGACCTTCTTTTTACATTTCATAATATTGTTTAGAATTTCAGTGTCTTGGTTTTGATGCTTTTTTCAGTGTCAAGCATAGCAATGTTTACCTGTCCGCTTCATGAAGCTCTGAGAGAGTTTCGATCTCATATATTGTATGTTTTCTAAACATGTTAATTAATTTTGAAATTGACTAGCTGAATGTACCCTTGAGCCCACCAAAGTTAAAACTTCGAGATTGCGAGATGAACCAATGTGTTTTTTTTTATCATTCACAAGAACATTCCGTACATTTTATTTTATTGTAAGATTTCAGTGTCTTATGTTGATGTTTTTTCAGTGTAAGGTATTGCATCGTTTACCTGTGCGCCCTATGAAGCTCTGAGGGAGTTTTGATATCGTATGCTGCACGTTTCCTAAACACATTATTTTTTGTTGACTTGTTGAGTACCCCACCGTTACAATCTTGCAATATCTCATGATGATTGCTCTCTGTAGACGCCATTGCCCTGTAAAGCTGCAAGTGACAGATTTTCGCTTACAGAGGCGGCAGCATGCATTTTAAGTAAAGTGGGTATTATAGTGATTTTAATATCTTTTCTTCCTTATCAGTGATAAATGTGGAGTATTATTGACATTCCATGACTACCGACTCCATTAAATCGGCGTTTTAGTAAGCCAAGGCGTCAGAGCAATATTCATTGTGTGTGTTCTGAGGAAAGAGAAAAAAAAAGAATTTTCGGCGTATTGGCCAAAATGCATCAATAATGTGCTTTATTTATTATTTATTATTTACCTTGATTGCCATTGTGCATTGCTTGGGGGGAAGTTAATATGGGTCATAACATCCTCCAGTTAGCAAAAGATGCATTAGCTACAGCAATACCCAAAATGGTTCACATAGTAAAACTAGAAATATACTGTATACCATGAATTGTATACATTAAAACGATACATTATAAACTTCACAATGCTTTTCGATAAAGAATACGTTCTTGTGGACTATAGTGAACTAGTTCTTTCTACTGTGGACAGTAATATTGCCTCAGTTACAAGACGTCTTTTGGGGTATAAAAAACAGTTTCAGATTCGCCGTTTTGAACATTTTCTGCACAAATGTGCCAGATGCGCAGTGTGGGCTTCGCTGGCGCCTACATGTGGGGTCGACTGGGTGCGACTTCTGCCAACGCGGTTAAGGACCTGGAGAACCAGCTGAACGGAAGTGCGAAGGCCCTCCCGGTTGCCCTCTGCGCTCTGTGTTTGTCCCTGTCATCGCTGATGCTAGTGACGCTGAGCAACGAGGAGGCCCCTGACGCGGCAGTGATGGCACTCATGTGGAACGACGAGAGGCAGAAAGAAGCGAAACACTGACGCGGTCGCGTACCTCCTTGACGAGGATAATGACATACCTGGCACACATGGGCTCATGTAGCACTTGCAACTGTGAAAGCCTGTGAAGTGTCTGTGCTTTAAGTATATATTAGCTATTATTTTGCCACTTATAATTAACATATAATCGACGCCACTCTACATAATCGTGTACTATTTTATCGTGTTAAGCGGCCAATCGCTGTCAATTTGCTTCGTATCTTAAAAGCAGCTCATTATCTTTTTTCCTTGTTTGTAAACACTTTACGTTTATCTTCGATGCAATAAATCACTACATTCTCATGAACAGTGGCTTTCTGTGAAAATACCAGCAAATGTGTGTCAATTCGTGGGTGTTAGATGTGCGCCGCTTAATATCTTTGCGTGATTTTAAGACATTGCAACAAAATAAATGTTCAAACTAAATAGCGCTGAATTAACACGTACAGCAAATGTGTGTTAATTCATGGATGCTGGAAGTGCGTGGAAGTATGTGATTGCAAGAGATTGCACCAGAACAAATGTTCAAACCAAATAGCGTTGAAGTATCACAGTTTATTTTGAAGTTAGCTTTACAATGAACAACTCGGAAAGGTGAATTTCGATCATTGTTGAAGGCGCTTTGATAAAGCCAATCCTTAGAGAAAATAAATTATACTCGTGGGCTTGTTACAGTTCACTTGTGATAGAGGCCACCATTTCGGCTAGTGAACTTTTATTCGTCCGGATGGAAATTTCCTCTCTATGTGCGGCTGCATGTACACATACCGCAGTCTTGTTACGTCAAGTGTGCCTTCCTCGAAATGTCTTAAGGTCGCTATCTGCTTGCTCGGTTTCTCTGAAAGAATCGGCTGTTTCAGAGAATTAATGCGGCGTGCGTGCTGCAGAAATTCTGGTGTCGGCTTTATAGGTTGTGAGGGATTGAATATGTGGGGTTTACCATCCCACACCTACCATGTGATTATGTGAGACGCCTTGTGGAGGGGTCCAGAAATTTCTGCCACCTGGGGTTCTTTAACGTGCATTCAAATCTGAACACACGGACCTACAGCATTTTCGCCTCCATCAAAAATGCAGCCGCCGTCGTCGGGATTCAATTCGGTGACCTGCGGGTGAGCAGCCGAGTACCTTAGCCACTACACCTCCACGGCGGGGCGTAGGTTGTGAGCGAAAATTCGTCTCGTGCTTCACCGGAAAACCGCTAATATTGAAATAAAATAAAAATATTGGTCTGAGTGAGCATCGAACACGAGTCGTTTGCGTGCCAAGCATGCGTTCTACCTGAGGGCCTTGAGCCTGCCTAAAAATAGTGAAAATAAATTACTTTATTTCGAATTGCAGTGAAAATAGATGCCATGTTTTACAAACACACGCGACCTGTACATCCTTCAATATGCAACATGTAATTTCGCAGTAATACAATGCGATCGGGATTCGGAGCATGAATATCATGCTTTCGGAGCATGAATATCAGCGGTGCTGCGCGGTAAATTATCGCGGCAAAGGAACCGAAGTACCGAATGTTCTCGTTTCTTGAGAACAACCGAGGAACAAAATTGGAGCGTGTCCTTGGTCAAGCTTACGTCGTTATTCGTTTTCTTGGTGACTCGAAGGTACGTCTGCTCGTAATACGTATTCCTAAGTCGTGCCAATGGCTCCATCTCCACCATGTTTTGTTCTAGTTCTAAAATAATGGTGCCGCGTGTTCTTCTTACTTGTGTGGCGTAAGCCCTGGCATTATTTAATGAATGCACGTGGCAGTACCTTTTCAGAACAGCCTTTTTTCATTCAGGGTCGATAATCGTTTTTCAATGGCGATGTGGGCCGAGGAATTTTTCCATCACCTCTGTTAACTTTTTTGAAAAAAAAATAGAAGCATCCTGTTGAATTGCTTAGTGCATGAGTTTTGTTCATAGTATGGTACTTTCGGTGTCCTCACCAATTTAGTGCAGTAATGAAATTTTGCGCCAGTCTCGTTACCTCTTGAAAACTTCGAAAGATTTTTCCTTACCGTGCATGCAAACGCACACGCGTTGCTTCTGGCATCGGACTTGCACGACCATGACATCAAAGTGCGCAGCGTCAAAAAAATGCACTCTGCTAAGTGATTTTTTATGTTACACGATGTAAGCTAGTGCATTTGCATACGAAACATTCCGTTCAATTCAATGTTATTTGTTCAAGAAAAGGAAGCAGCTGTCGCAATGAAGCAATGGAATGAGCAGCTAGAGAGGGAGAAGGCTTCCTTAAAATTACTGCGACATACAATGATAAGAAGAAAAAAAGCAATAAAACAAAGGGATTGAAGAAAAATTGGCTCAAGAAAGAATGATGGGTGCTAGTGAAAAAGATTATGAAAGAAAATGATGGCACTACAATGGCAAGGACAGAATCAGTTTAGGCAAGTGCGTACACGTGAACCTATTTTGTTGTATACGTTTCGTTTTGACTGTCATTAGGTTTGTTATTTTTTTAAAAGGACTATGCTGGGCTGATAAATGTACGTTAGGTTAGGGTAACTTGGTTTGTACTAGGTTGGTTAAGGTGAGGGTAGGCACGAATAGGTTTGGTTAGGTTAGGTAAGTCAAGTTTATTATTTTTGTTATCGAGTTTCCTATTTTCCTTGGCTCGCACGGCTCAGCTAATTGTAGGTGCCTTTAAGCGCTCGCTAACTGCTGACGTGAAATATACAACGCAGGCGGACTGTCACTCATTATAGAATATTCCAGGTCACTTTTGGCAAAATTTTGGCAACCACGGACTCGTATAGTTAACCACAGCCTGTATTGGCTTATTGTGATGGCTTATGTAAACAGCACCAGATGATGGTCACGCTATCCACGATGAACCGAATAAAAAACGCCAGGCTTGCACGGAAGGCGCAGCACAGCCGCAGCGAAAGATGGAAGAGCGGCTTGTTAGAGCCTTTTCTGACCACTCAATGGGTAACTGCTCCAAGCACACTTGCTAGGTACTTACTACGGCATTATTAATAATAATTTTTGGGTAGTAGGCCGGCATTTACTATGTTATTTTTTGTCGTTCTTCTGAGAAGCGTGATATCTGCTAAACACTTGCAAGGAATTTCGTGTTGATTGCTCATGCAGTGGTTGACGATAATGAAGAATTATGCCTGAAGTGGGTTTGCCCCACAGGTAATAGGTGATGAAGAACAAGCTTTTGTAGATGATCGTAGCATTGGACGGCCAGCTCCTTACGCTATTCGCATTGCGTGACACCTGGTTGTCCTTATGCTGTTATAAAACGCTTTATCAGTCAAATTGACGTGACCACTTTACCGACATCAAGCCCACTTGAGGCAAGTTTGCGAACAAGTTTAAAGCACCGGCATAGAATACTGAGCTGGCAAGCAGCGGTCATGTTTTCGAGCCCCACCGTGTCCTTGATTCTAGGTTTCTTTCTAGCGGAAGTGGTGATGGACACCGGCGGGAGCGGACAACTACGGCGCCACGCGTGACCTGAGTTGCGATCTCATAGCAGCTTTATTTGTTAAATTGGGACATCGCACTTCATTTTTTGAGAGCATGCACTGCTTTTACAACGCTGCGTAGATGACGAGCGCGTGACCAGTACATAGCGTGCCCTGTTCTCGTTAACACGGTTGTCTGCGCCAGAAGGACAGTCTCGGTGTTACGTAGAACTATGGACAACTGCTCAGGTATCACAGTGCAACTGACATAGCCAGCAGGTTATGCACTCACCTACGCTATTTACTGCTCAAGTCATACGATTCACCATTTTATCTACACCACAGACTACCATAAAGAACATTATTCCATGCCACAATGATTAATCTTTGTGGTTTGTTCCTTTGCCCAGTTGCTACAGGAGCACTCCTGAGCTAGAAAAATGCAGATGACAAGCAATGTATTGAAGCGCATTTATTTTCAATTCAAAATGCATTTTATCATCAAGGTAACCTAGTTCAATGGCAAATGACAGAAAACACCGAAATCACGCATTCTGTTCACAAGCATAGTCAGCGGAACGTTGGACCTTGCATGCCTTTTAGTGCAGCACTGAAGGTTTTGAGGACACTGAATGGAGGTTCAGCACATTGGTTGTTGGGTCCCTCGCTGTGCACATTGTAGAGGAGCCACGCAGTATTTGCACGCAAATTTCCGAAGTTGGCTACGGTTTGAGGAACTGCAAACAATGAAATGGCATTCGATGTTTTATTCTAATGCTCACAAAAAAACGGGTGTCTCAACTCACCTGCTGACGGCTAATAAAACAAACAGGCACGCGCAGTGCGCCGCAATGAAGTGCAGCTTTTTCTCTGTTATTGCGATATCGACAATAAGGACAATCTACGTGTGTAGCTGCATATGAAAGAGCGGAAAATTTTATTTGACCAGATCAAAAGTTTCAAAATATAAGGCCGACTAATATAATCAGTGACTCCTCCCTCCTGAGACTGGAGCCATAGGTACAACTCCACCACGAACCATGCCTGCGGCGCCCTAATAACAGCGAGCTGTTTTGTATAGGCAATATACCAATGTTGGAACGCGTTATCTCGGAGGAGCATGAGCGTTTTCTGAATTATGGAACGCTCCTCATTTCTTTTGATGTGAAAACTTGGGTGCCGGCCCGAGAATCACCTCATAAAGAACAGGCTGAAGAAAACTCGAATTGTAAAGCCCGTTTTAAGTTTCGATAATGAAAAGTATACACTAAAATTGGCTGGGCAGTTGGTTTGAATGCGTTTTAGTTTTACCTAGCGAGACAGATAGCTGTCGAACATGTGTGCTTTTATTCTTCCTCTAAGATCCGCGGGGAAAAGGGGGCCACTGTCTTTAATCACATTTGTTATGAAAAAAAAAGCTTGACACGTCTAGAGGTAGCATACACAGTACCTCAAGGCACACACTGTGCTGGGCGCCACCACGTGGCAGGAAACACAAAGAAGGCCATTCGGTGCCATGGGCGGAGAGTTTACATATTCCTGGAGGGGCTGTGGGCTCGACGTTTTACTGTGGGGCTACGTAGATCTCAGGGGCGCCTCGGCGTGTTCTCTATCCCCGGCGAAATGACGCGAAGGGCGCCCTTTAAAACAAGAATCCTACATTTTCTTTCTGTTTCAAAACTGTCCTTGAGACGCAGATAAAAAAGAGGC